AAGAAGAGAAAGTAATTGTGAAGGGTAGCTACAAACAATTGCATTTTAGTGAGCAATGAAAGTTGCTATAATTATTGGGATTGTTTTGGGTAAGTTTATAGATATGCATTGTGTTTACAGGAATTAATCATAGTGGGGATGCCATTTACATCGAGACATATTGATTTAGTTAAAGTGATAAAACGAAGACCATGATAGTGGTGGATAAAGATTTTATTTGTTGAGCAATCGATATGAGAAGGAGTTTCTTGTTAAACAATAACCTGGAAAACCAATACAACATAATGCACTGTCATCCCTCATTGGTATTGTAACTTACAAGCTCTGTTGTTCTTTACTCATTTTCAAAAACATATAAATTATAAAATAAGCCATTTTGTTGTTTATTTTACTGTTATGTATTGTAAGTGTATATATTGAAATAAATGGTTAAATAAATGTAAGTTGAAAAATGAGCCTTATTTTGTCACTAGTTTATTTACATTGATTTGAATCACATTTTTGAACTAACAGATGATTAAATTATTAATTGCATAACATTTGAAACATAGAGATACAACATTTACATTATTAACTGGAAACTATATATCTATATTATTGTATGAACATAATTTCTGTATTTCATATATGTAAAAGCAATGAGACCATGCTAAATTACAGGATTCAATAACAAAGGAAGCTGATATTGTGCTATATACCTGAGGGTGTAAATATAGAGGTGGGTATTTCCATAGAGACCTAATGACGAATTAGAATGTGAAAGTTCTATGGTAGAAATATCAAGTATGCAAGAGTGATCATCAGAGGTAACATGGTCATCAGGCAATTCATAGAGAGGGGTCAGTCAGGTTGAACTAGTATATTGCAGTGATTCATCCAATATAGATACAATAGTTACAAATAACCAGAACCAATTACTGGACATTGTAGTTACCAGTTTTCCTATCCTACTGTTAAAATATGAACCTCATTTTAATATGAGTTGGTGAGTTCATGCCCGGTAACATGAATGTAATAATGGTTCTAAATGTATTTATCTTATTTTATGGTAGATTTCACTATGTGTGCTTACTCTATGGTAAAATTCTTTGAGATCATTTAATATTTAACACACTTAGATTAGTGAATAAATCATCAAAGTGCGATATAAATATGCTGGGTGAAACGTATTAAAACTTGCTTCCAGTTTATCTATTAAAGGATTGTCAAACGTCTCGGTTTTGCTAACTATGACCTGGTGTCCCAAAAAGGGCTCTTAAGACCATAAGATGACAATACATAAAGTTTGGACTATTGACTGTGATGTGAATTTATGCATACTTTGTCATACAAATTTTACACTATAGTATTTTTACGAGTTCTGACTGTGACTGTGATGTGAATTTGTGTGTATTTCATCACATAAATTTCACTCTATTTTCACTCATTTCACACCACTATTATGATGTGCTGTGCCTGCATGAGTGTGTTGAGCCATGAATATCATAGACTACCAAGCTATAAGGATGTATGCTAGAACTGATCTAACCTCTGCCAAACCCTGAATACGAGCCTGGAGGCACAGACTTTGGACCAAGGATCAATAATTGTAAATAGACAAACCTGTGTGATAGGATATAGAACACTGAAAAATAAAAATGTTAGAAACTTTAGTCTTTTACTTATTTACCCTTATCACCCTCTGTTTTGGAGGAAACTGCCTTACAACCAACATTATGAAGATTGCATTAATACTCATGATCTTGGTCATTATAAAATTTATCAAACATAAATCCGTATTTGCCATTATTCATAGACCTTTCCTTGTCTATTATGAAAAAGCTATCCAACACTGGTGGTAAAGACTTTTATATTGATGAAATGAAAAGTCATTATTAATATGATTGTTAAATATAAGGTTTAAAATTTATATTGCCTTGTTTGGATAATATTAGAAAATGTATGTTATCGCATAAATGTTTGCGTACTTTCTAAGTAAAAGCAGTTAATATTTTTATGTTGACCCATTGAGAGAAATTGTATACTATTTGTACTATAAAAAGTCTATTCATGCATATCAGTCCAGTAAAAGTTCTGTTACAATCCAGTCATAGGTCAGTCTCAATTGCATCCATAGTTTCTCAGTCAACCTGTCAGTCATTTGGTTACAGTCTGTTTTCTAACTCTTTATTAACCAATATTGCATAACATTTTTTATTTAAAACACAATATTCTATAAAATTTTCATTGGCCAGTTGTTGTTGATTGTTATAAACAGTACTTGATATACAAACACATACGTTGTCATCAGTCAGGCGTCCAAACAATTAAAAAATATCGTTGAGAAGAAATCGGTTGTTGTATTTAACAACATAAAGGTCGATTCACAAACGGTATGTAATAGTTTAATCATGTCACAGTGTATACAACAACTGACTGTGACTGTGATGTGAATTTGATTAGTTGTGTGAAATGTGTGAAAATAGTGTGAAATTTTTGAAACTGCTTCCAGTTTATATGTTGTCATTAAGCAAGCGTTTAAAAATCCAACAATATCGTTGAGAAGAAACCAGCTGTTGTATTTGACGACATAAAAATCAATTCACACATAACACGTCACAGTTTAATCACATCAGTTACGACACCGTGTATACACCAACTGACTGTGACTGTGATGTGAATTTGTGTGTACTTCGTCACACAAATTTTACACAAATTTCACACATATTTCACACATTTCACACAACTATCATGATAGTTGTTCTCATAGGTAAAACACCAAAAACACCTCTTTATCCTATTCTATCTATTTGCTTGAGATACAGTAAATAAACATATTTAGGCACACTACATTGATTTCAACTTTTGATATAAAACAATAATACAGGGTAAAAATTTAAAAATCTAAAACTTATATGAATACCATTTGGTAAATAAATTAAATGGTTCCATTTGTATGACAATGTATTATAACATAATATCAGTGTTGGTAATGGTTACAAACTCCATGCATTACTGGTGTGACTTTATCGTTTTAAAATGCTTATTTCTCAAAAACTGCTTGAGATACGACAAATGGTTAAATTTAGGTACACTATGTTAGTTCCAACTTTTAAACAACAAAAAACAATAATACAACATAAAAATCAAATACTATTTTAACATTATTTTAAATGAGTACAAATAAATCAAACAGTTATCATGAAAATGTTATAAGTCTATACTTAATTCCATTATTTTAAAAGTCCATTATTAAATATTCTAAATTTGTGATTTAATCACCAGACATCCCTATAACTCAAAAGAATTATATTATTTTATATGAGTACAAATAAATCAAACCATTTTCATTTGTATGCCAATGCATTGTAATATAATAATAGCATTAGTAAATAAAGGTCTGATTTATTGTTTAAAAATACTTATATCTAAAAAAAAGGCTTGATATACAACAAAACAGCTAAAATTCCAGCAACCAAAATAGCCTTCAACATAATAATACAGCATAAAAAGTTAAACAATTTAAAACCATTTACCAGTTTCTTTTGTATGTAAATGTGCTATAATATAATTTCAACAATAGCAATAGTTTCAAACTCTAGGTATTACCAGCACGGCACTGTCGGGGGCATGACGATGTTCAAAGTGATGCGCCTTCTATCACTTACATGTTTGTCTAGCTTCTAATAAAAATATTTATAGCATAAAATTTATATATTAAAATTCTACATGAACTACTGTTTAATACGATATAAATATAATTTAATTTATGCCACTGTATAATTATTAATTAAGAAAAATATAAAAAGGTTACTCAAAGTAAACATGAAAAAGTAAGTAAGCGAGGATTTTTTTTATTTTTCGGTCAGAGAAAAACTTTCAGTGGAAGAAGTATAGATGATTAGATGTTCCTCAATTTTTGTTTCTAACATTTTTTCATAAGACTTTTAGTTTGTCATCGCTGGGGATCAGAAGTAACCTATGGGTCGGGAGCGCGTCCGAGTTCACGTGCCGAGAGCTGGGTTTTAAAAAAAAGTGGTCAAAAAAAGCTCTTCATTTCCAGGCTTGTTTTTTCAGTATTAATAACATTTTTTAACCAAAAAATGCCCCCATATAGCCTCTAAAACGCCAAAAATAGGGTAAAACCATCATATTTTACCTATTTTGGGTGTTTTTTCACCAAAAAAATTCAAAAGTCCTAGGTCCAAAAACGCCGAAAGTGGGGTCATATTCTGGTATTACCTCTACTACAACACGTTTTTAGGTTCAGCTGGCAACACAAATGGTGCCCTCCCTAGAGAAAGTAGTACCCGCGGTCCATATCACTCCGCTATTTTTCCTCGGCAAGAAATGTGCTCCGCGTTTTGAGAATATAGTTCCGTATGTTTTTGTAATTTGAAGTGGTTTCCGCGCCTTAAAAAATGCTCTAAAGGTATTTTCTTGTTTATTAAGATCGTAGGAATGTTTTAAGAACGTTTAAAAGAAAAGTCCAGAAAGTTAAGAAATACCGAAACTATGAACACGAAATGACAGGTTAAATAGTAGTTATAATAGTCAATCAGCTGCTCATAGTATTATTATCTTTAAGTGTTGCCAACCTATTTCCAAGCGTACACGGATTACGTGCATAATAGAACCACGCTGTTTTGTGTTGTTTCGTTGGAGTCCTGATGTGCGGCAAAGTATAAACCGTCCGGCAAAGTATAAACCGTACGGCAAAGTATAAATATGCAGCAATTAGCAGCTTTCTGTACAATAAACAGTACAAGGAAGCCAACTTTGTCGGGTGACTGTAGGAAATAGTTATTTGTGTAACTAAAAATTAAAAAAAATTCAACTTAGCGGTTCTAGCGGCGAACGCTGACATGTTAGCCTTAGTCCCTCCCGTGCTCCCGTGTGTCCCACCGCTCGGTCTCTGCTGTCATTGTTTTGAAAAATAATAAATACAATACAAAATACAACATAACATAACCTCTGTCTCAAGTGTCTCATAGAGTGTTGGAGTATGTTTTATCTAGGCTAAGATTATTCTCTCAATTCATTTTCATGGTTTCAAAGGCTCTAGCTAGAGGTAAACTGCTCAGTAACCAATAGTTCTGGGACTCACAAGTCACAAACCTGGTTTTTTTTAAGCAAAAGCATGCTTTATAAAGTGTGTAATGTTATTTAAATTCCAATGTCTTGGTTGCTAATTTAAAACCGAGTTTCAAGGTAAGACCTTACAAATTATTACCATTATTACCTCACACAGTTCTTACTAGCATGGTGTGGTGGCAAGCATCCTTTTTCACTGTCACTGAATGACACTGTCAATTAATTGACATACAAGAGTGATGAGTGTCACATTTTTTAGTATAATTACCAAATGCTTATTCGACTCATGTGTTTTGAGAGATAATTCTTATGTTACACAAATAATTAACTTATCTTATTAAGGCCTATTTTTACTGATAAATTACGATAATATATCGCAGGTTATTCTCTGCGCAACTATAACTTACTCCTTATCCGTAGGAAGTAGGCCGGCTGCACTTTACTTAACGTCCTAAGTTACACTCATTCGAATGAAAATATCGATCATTGATTATATTGATATTGATAGGCTAAGTTATATTGTTTGGCTAGGTAAGGTTAACCTAACTAACCAAATTATATCAGCTGAAACAATCGAATAATCAATATTTTCATTCGAATGAGTGTAGGTAGTAAAGTGCAGCCAAATAAAACTACAAAATATAATTTCGTATAATTTACGCTACTGTAAGAAAACAAATAGGTAACTTAATAATAACTAACTTAGAACAGCAATGAATTAAAACCAGATTAAAAGAAACAAAAACCAACCAAAAAACCTACAATCCAGGGTATGTTGGTAACTTAATTGCCCTTAGAAAATGGAGAAATGGATTTTTTTTTTTACCCTGGATAAAATCACAAACAACTTTATTCATGCAATTAATACAAAACCTGAGGGCATGATAAAACTTTCTCCTTTAGTAGGCTATATTTCTCATCCTTATGTGAAGCCATGTTTTTGCCATTGTTTTAGCGAATTTCCCATATAGGGAATAAGCTATTACCGTAGTACTCATGGTAAGACCTGGACCCGGGACCGATTTATTTTTTCATTTTGAGGTCCCTAGAGGCCAAAAACACCATCCGTTCAAATTCATATATATATATATATATATATGTATATATTTATATATGTGTCCGTCAGCACGATAACTCGAGCAAAAATGATCCGATTTTGATGAAATTTGGTACAAACGTGTAAACCTACATTTATTCAAACGAGTTCGCGAACCAGCATGATCGGACTATGGGAAGGGGGGTTAATGGGGGGTTTTATGGGGTAAAAATAGGTTTTTCCCATTTTTGACCCTAAAAACACAAAATTTTACAATTTATTTCCAAACCATTTTGTAGAGCTTAAAAAAATAAATAATTTAGTATATTGAAGCGTTATTGTGCGCCTAATGGTTACAGAGAAAATTCCAAAAAATTGTAAATTTAAAATCCCTATGTTATTCTTATGGAGAATAAGTCAACTGTTGTAGTTTACTTGTTTTTGAACATATTTTGATCGAATTTGGAAAGTACATTCATTTCTTACTAAAATATTAACATAAAAACCACCTTTATACCCTCCCTGTTGCAGCAAACCTAAGTACTGTACTCGTTAAACTAATTCGATTTAAATAGGGAATAAATATGATATTTTTAAGGAGGCATTTTAATGTGAAATCCTATCAGGCTAATGGAAATTCGCTTAGACTGCAGGTTTACTGCGGCGGGGGTATTTATTTATACCATATGGTAAGATGCAAACTGAAAGAAATATAGCCTACAGTCGGGACCACGAAAGTTTGCAGTTGGTGGCAGCCAATCACAAGACAAGGCTAGTGCGACGCTGCCATATCGCCTGTTGACAACACTTATTAAAATAAGGTACTAAAAAATATTTTCAAATCAGCTGGTAGCCTATTATTAGATTTTGCAACATCGCACTGTCCTCATTGGCTCCTTCGAAGTCACAAGGAATATAGGCTCCTCCCTCAACTGCAAACTTTCGTGGTCCTGACTTTATATATAGGTAATAAGATAATATATCGCTGGTTTTTGGGAAACTGTACCCCAGATAAATGAAGCTGATGCGGATAGGAAAGAAAATTTGTTCAAATAAGGGTGATTTTGTTAGTAAGTCCTACCATTGATTACACAGTTTGTCCAGGGATATAGACAGCAAAAGACCTAGACCAACAAAAATTATGTTAATTTTCCTTTTCGTTATAATTAACTTAATTGATCTTTGTTTTTGCAAACTGATGTCTTGATTGCTGTTAAAGTTTTGCACTGATTGTGTTTCCCCTTGTCAGTCAGTATCGATCTACATTTTTTTGCTTTTTATTGAGGCCTAGCCTACTGCCTAGTTGTGTTCTTTTTTGAATGGTTATAGGGGTGTTAAATAATCCCATTAGGCCCCGGGTACGATATGAGCGGCGCCGCTCTGACATCGGGTCTCATTTAGTTGCGTGTAAATTTGTTGGGGGTGGCCACGATACGTCTGAGCGGCGGTAAGCGGAACCGCTCAGCGCCGCTCATGGTTCCAAGTCAAAACCAATTTTCGCAAAAACGCCGCTCGCCGCTCAGGTGAGTCATGCTTCAGTTTGGCCTAAAATGACAGGAAAACAGCAGCAAACGTGCGATACGGGTGTATACGTGAGGTGCAGTCCAGGGAATGTTTGTGGAATGACCAGCATGGAAGTTTTAAAACACTTCAGTCACCAGAAAAGTATGAGACCAAGTTAGGGCCATTGTTTTTCTAAAAACTAAGTTTTTTTTTAAAGGCAAACAATTGTCAAATAGCAACAATAGTTGCAATACATCTTACAGGTAAGCAAAGTTTACCACTTTCGACGAAACTGACTCATAAAACTAGGGGAATTTGATGTGTGTTATAAATGTGCTGCTTGTATCGTAGCCACCACCGCCGCTTCGCTCAGGTTACCGCTTACCGCTCGTATCGTACCCGAGGCCTTATCCCCATTATCAGTTCCACATATTTAAATGCAGAACAAAAAATATGATTTTAGCTAATGGCTGCAGTTTTCTAAGTGCCCCACAGTCAAGTAAAATTAACAGCATCAAGACCATCAACAGATTGAGGTTTGCCTACAAAGCTATTGAATGAAAGTGGACCTACAATAAAGCTACTTGACTAATGGCTAAAAAGATGTATATTTCTGTAAATCCAATCAGGTAAATGGAAATTCGCTTAGTCTGAAGGTTTGCTGCGGCGGGGGTCTGATACTTAAACATGTTTTTTTTAGTATCAGCTTTTCAGAGATCTATTAAATGTTTATGTTCATCTAAAACAAAAAAAAACTGGGATGTATCAAATCAAATTTTTTATACAAATTTACAGCAAAAAAATCATAAAATTAAATAACGGTATTCAAATTTTGAATATATGGCATGGTAGTTTACTTCCGGAGGAGAAATATTTTCTTTTTATTGTTATTACTGAACAAAGAGCACACTCACAAAATTGGCTTCAGCTGTTCCATAAGGATGACAAATCTATGATTGTGCATTCAAAATCATTCATGTCGGAAAGAAATGTGTTTTAATTGAGAAGGTTACCTTTTATACCATAAAGAGTTGTGATTATTGACGAAACTGTTTCTCAACAATTAATTATGAGTGAAATAAATCCTACACCATAATAGTTAGTACATTAAATTCTTTATTACTAGATCCATAAGATACTTAACACTACGTACAAAAATACAACTAGATACATATGACATACTTAACCTTAGATACACAACATGCTTAAGTTTTTTTTTACATGGGAGGGTGGTTATCCCATCGCCACAACCCCCAATATGAATGGAGGACCTACTTCTGGTCAGCGGGTCCATCGGACCTAGCCGGGAGGACTGACAAGCAGATCCACCGACCTTCCCCCTATCCGCCACCCAGGGGACGCTCCGTATACGCTGAAGTAGGAAAGCGCACGGATACTTTATTAAAAGATACATAAAATACTAACTCTAGGTACAAAAGCTACTTAATACTAGATACTTAGCATACTTCTTAATACTAGCAAGTTCATTCTAACTATTATTTTTCATCTTCTTCAGGCTTTATCCTTCTTTTCTATTGTAAATTGTCTTCAATCGGCTCACAGTGTGTTGCTGCAGAACTTTTCAATTTATTCCTCTTGAAGTTTCCCAGATAGTCCAGCTCCTCATCCTATCTGCATTCATCTCCCATATTCCATTGTGTTCTTCAATCATTTTCATGTAAGTAGATCCTATAAACTTCCATTTTCCTCATTAGAAGTCCCTAGTTGGTTGTTTCCTATAGTGTTCCTCTGCAAGTTAGGTTGTATGAAGCAGGAGTGACAAGAATAGAAGAAACATGGCAAGTTTTCACTGATATTCCAGAACTGATCTACTTACTGTGGTACCCAATGGAATGTAGTCAAGACACTTAAGTTTCTTGAGTCTGTACTCTTCCTCATCATAATTTTGACATAAGGAACAATTTTGTCTTGCATTGATTTATGAACAAAATGAATGAATAAAATTAATGGTTTCTATGGAAATATTTATTCACTGTACTTTCAACATGCAATGGTTCAACAGGCTTAGATCTTACTATACAGACAGTTTGAGACATTTAATTTCCTTGAAATATCGAAGCCAAATTTAGAATAAAATACCCCCGCCGCAGCAAAACTGCAGACTAAGCGAATTTCCATCTACACAGCTGGAATTTCACTAAATTATTCCCTTAAAATTGTCAGATTTATTTCCTATTTAAATATCATTAATATTAATGAGTACTTAGGTTTGCTGATACAGGGAAGAAAATAGGGGGTTTTATTAAAATATTAATAGCTTAGTATGAATTAAACAAAATTTCATTAAAATATGTCCATAGACAAGCAAGCTACTATACTGTATTTATTCTCCATAAGAATAACATGGTAATTTTAAATTAACACTATTTTGCGATTTTTCCGTAACCATTTGGCATGCAACAATGCTTCAATATACTAAATTATTTGTTTTTTTTTTAGCTCTACAAAATGGTTTAGAAATAAATTGCATATTTTATTTTATGTTTTCAGGATGAAACATTAGAAAAACCCATTTTTACCCCATAAAACCCCCCATAAACCCCTGTTCCCATAGTCCAATCATGCTGGTTCGCGAACTCGTTTGAATAAATGTAGGTTTACACGTTTATATCAAATTTCATCAAAATCAGATAATTTTTGCTTGAGTTATCGCGCTAACGGACACATATATATTTATGAATTTGAACGGTTGTTTTTGGCCTCTGGGGACCTCAAAACGAAAAACTAAATCGGTACCGGGTCCAGGACTTACCATGAGACTTACGGTAATAGCCTATTCCCTATATGGGAAATTTGCTAATATTTTCTATATGGGAAATTCGCTAAAACAAAGTATTCAAATTGAGCCTCCAACAGAATGCGCTGCTGACGATTGTTGGTTTAGGCTGTACACAAACTTTAACCAAGCCTTTAAAGGGCAACTTCTTGCCAATTATAGGGATTTCTTTTAGGATAGCAGGCTTGCGTAATCTGGTAAAAGTGAACTCTGGCTCAAGAAACACAAAAATATTTTGCTTTTATAGTTTTACACCAACAGTATCTATCTTCCAAAATCAACCCATCCTTAGTTGAAAATGCTATCTGTGACAATGGAATATATATCTGTGGCAATTGGGCCTAAAGACATATCACATCCCAACTCCAACCACCTTTGGTTCAAAACAGCGTCAGAAAATAGCGTCTGATAAAGTGAAATATTCTAATTTCCGTTTTTAAATTAAACTTTAAGTATTAATAGCTCCCAGATGGACATTTTACCACTAAGGTATGAGTGCCGTACTTTTTTTCCTAGGACAAAAAAGCGTAGGTGTAATAAGGAGTTGTCATCAACATATGATTTCTTAACACGTTCGCTGCTACGGACGTTCCGGAACGTCAAACGGGCCACGGCGCCAGGAGCTAGGAACGTTCTGGAACGTCGCCGTTCATTGTTGTTTAATGTTTTCATGGATCAGCCAGCTCGTCACGAGCGTCCTATTATTTCTTTGTAGCTCGTGGGGACGTATTTTTCTGGCAATAAAAAATATTGTTTCCCAAAATCACCACCAGGGTCGTTTAGAACAGGGCTTTGTCCCACCTCTTTCCTGCTAGATAACGACACTACTTTACCGACTGCAACCTGGGTAGTGTTGCTATCTATAAGAATCACTTAGTACTATGTCAAAAGCCGGTTTAATTGCAATGTTTACGCAGCGGCAAGCGTTAGTTCAGCTCCTGGCGCCGTCCCGGCATCTGGCGGTCAGCAGCAAACGTGTTAACACACATGGTTTATGTTATTGTTTTTAATGTTTATGTCTGTGTTTATATATTTTTCATTCAGTTAAAATGGTTGAATAAAATAGGTTGTACATTCTCTTGTATCATGTTTATTATATAATTTAAGGACTTTATAGATAGTAGGTCTATAGTTTTTTTTTTTTTTTTTTTTTTAAGGGAGAGGAGAGAAAATGCTTTTATGCACACAGGTAGCCAGCCTGTTGTGTGAGACTCCTGAATCCACCAGAGACTAATCCCTAAAAAAACCCCCTCTACTCTGTTGGACACAGACCTGGAATTGTTTGTCACATTACTTCAAGTCAGGCCAACATATGACCTAAGCCCTCAGGGCTCTCACCGTTTTTGGCATGTAGTAGCTATTACCGTATATCTCATGGTAAGACCTAGACCCAGGACCAATTTACTTTTTCGATTTGAGATCCGCAGAGGCCAAAAACACCATCCGCTGAAATTCGTATACATATAATATTTATATGTGTCTGTTAGCACGATAACTCGAACAACATTTATCCGATTTTGGTGAAATTTGGTATAAACGTGTAAACCTACATTTATTCAAACAAATTTGGAAACCAGCAGGATAGGACTATGGGAACAAAGCTATGGGTCTTTATTTTTATGGGGTAAAAAATGGAGGGTTACCCATTTTTCACCTTTATAAAATGTCAATTTATTTCCAAATTATTTTGTAGAGCTCATATAAACAAATAGTTTAATATATTGAAGCGTTGTTAACGTTTCCTAACGGTAACGGAGAAAATTCCAAAAAAAATTTAATTTTAAATAACCATGTTATTTTAATGGAGAATAAATAAACTGTTATAACTTGCTTGTCTATGGACATATTTTAATGAATTTTGGAAATTTGTTTACTTCATACTTAAGCTTTTAATATTTAAATAAAAAAAAAAAAAAACACATTATTGCCTTCCTCTGTAGCAGCAAACCTAATAATTAATGCCTATATAATTAATGCTATTTAGATAGGAAATAAATCTGAAAATTTTAACGGGAAGAATTTTGTGGAATTTCAGCCAAGTAGATATAAATTTGCTCAGTCTGCAGGTTTGCTGCGGGCGGGGGTATTTTAATCTTTTTAATTTAGCTATATTTTTACATAGTACTGTTACAATGTTTCTTTACGCACCCACACACACTCACACACAATCCAAATTTCCTTCCTTTGTAGCCCACAGTATTCTCCTCTCCTTTCCTTCCCAGGTCCAAATCCAACTCCAATACTTGTCACCCCCTCCTTATCTTCTTCATTAGCCCTTCTCATTGGCTGATCACCGATAGGGTTATGGCTGTTTCTCAGAAGCCAGCCGGCTACTAGTCATCATCTGCTCACATCAGCTGGGAAAATAATTTTGAAATTAATGCTCATGCTACTGCTCTTAAACTCTGTAGTTGGTCCTTCTGGTCGACGAAATGTAATGTGAACGGGGTGTTGGCGTAGATGAGCTCTGTGTGCTCAGGGCTAGTCCCATTTTTTACAATATATATATTTATAAAAATTTGAATGAATATTGTGTCAGGCCTCTGGGCGAATATCAAATTAAAAATTAAATCAATCTCTGGTCTAGGTCTTACCACGCCACCTGCGGTAATAGTTTATTCCATCTTTAGGGATATTGGATCAAAGTAAATCGTTCCAGGGTCTAGGTCTTTCGTTGCCATGTATCGTAATAGCTTCTTCCTTATAGGAAATTTAACTGAAATGTACAGTTAGTTTTATTGTTCCAGGTTACCTGTCCTAGGGAAAATGAATTCAAACGAAATTAACGAAGAATTGAACTTGAAAGTTCGTAATCAACTTGAATTTGCAATTGCTTGTTGCTCTGGTATTAAACTTAGTGACAATAACTTATGCCAATTTTGTGGCAAAGAAGTTTCTAAAAAAAACCTAAGGCGTCATGAAAAGCAATGTCCAGAAAACAAAACAAAGTTGCAATTTCAATGTCAAATTTGTAAAATTGTTTTAGCAAGAAAGGATAGATTAAAAACTCATATTCAGAGGCATGAAGAGAGAGGAGAAGACAAGTATTTCTGTCAAAACATCAGTTGTATGTATGCGGAATGTGATATATCCTTTGCTCAAAAAACACACCTGATAGAGCATCTTACAAAAAAACACGGACTTTGCTTTGAAGATCCGAAAATCATCAGTTTTAATAACAAGGAAGAGTTTGAAAAATGGAAAGAAGAAGAAGAAGAAAAAAGTTTTTCATATTACTCCCAGCATTCTGGTAAGAAAGTTCGTGGAGACAATGAATTTATTTACTTCTACTGCCAACGTGATACGCCAAGTATAACTGAGCAAAGCTTTTATCGCAAAACTAACCGGAAGAGAAAAATTGGTCAGGTGAAAACCGGGAATCGATGTGTTTCTATGATGCAATTAAAATTAGATAAACATGGTAAATATGAGGTAAAGTATTTTCCTACTCATAGTCATCCTTCATCAATTGAAGACTGGAAATTCCATCCTCAGTCTAAAGGTGTGAATAAATATATTGAAGAGCAGATAGCACTTAATGTACCTCCTGCGCAAATTGTACAGTCTTTGAAAACGCCAGTGACCAAAGAAGTGGGAGATGATACAAGTCAAAACAAATTAACCAAAGCCCAGTTAATAACGAAGAACCTTGTGAGATTAAGAGCTTACAAGAAGAGGCGAGCTAATGGAGATATTGAAAATGAAAATCACGATATCATGCAAGTTAACTCTACGGATTGTATGAATTTTCTACCAATTGAAATTGGAGCTGATGTGGAACTCCATACAAGCTCCATTCCTGAAGCAAGTTCCAGTATAAATGTAGAAGAAAAACTTCAGTTGTTGTTAAGTTTAGTAAATAGTGGAAAATTGCCTAATGAAATTATCGATGAAATAAGCGCAGGCCTTGATGAATTAATCAACAAATGTTAGGTGTTTGTTTAATTTGGGTGATAAGAATTGTGTTACAAGAATAAAACAAATATCTCCAAGTACATTTAATTATTTATGGAAATAATAATTCCATCCAACCATTCTAAAAACTAAAAATATACCTAAGATGATTTCACATGCAGATATAGGGCGGTAAGAATTAAGTACAGTACCACCTTCAAAAGGAAGTCTGCAACAAATTTATTACCGTAATGTTAATTGTAAGAAATTTAGGTACCTCTACCTGTGTCGTTACAAAGTGAGTAACCAATTAAATTCTTTTCATATAAATAGAATAGTATTACTTTACAGTCTTTACACTTTTAAATTAACAATGCCAATGTATAAAACAAAACTCCAAAAAATAGTTATTTTACAAGATTTTAACATTTGACTTGAATCTCACTTTATTTACATTAAAAAATAACACAACAACATGGGACTGAATGGACAAGAATCACTTTATCTTACATTTTAAACATTGTTGGTGTTATTACTGTGTCTTATATTTATGGTGGCATTTGTAAAGTCGACAAAACGGGAAAAGTAAGTGGTTTGAATGAGCATTATTTTATTGGTTTGAAAATAGACGAAGTATTAATTCAATGGTTTTAACATGTTTAAAATATTTTTCACTGATTTCTGTTTTGTCTTTTATTTACTGGGCAACAAACACACAACAACACTTAAACTTCAAATTTGGGACTAAATTTATCCTTTCAATTTGATTGTTTTATTGTTTGCCATGGTATCAGGTTTTTGACTGAGAAATAGTTCAGTTTCATTTTCCTAAGTTTGATAGATTATTTTGGTGACTGTAGTATAGTAAATACAATTAATTATAGTAATTAATTTATTTACTGCCAAAACACTTTCATTGTTAGACAGGGTTCAATAGCCTTGGAAGGGTGTGTGGCCAGCTATAGTTCGGCCGCTTAGAAAGCGACCTCCTCTAGCATTGGTTTAGCATTAGCGCGCAGGTCGTTTTCTAACCGGCCGAACTATAGTAATCTAACTTGTGATTCATTTTTTTGTGTACAGATAAATATTTCTTTAAATGTCCCCTTTTTGTTGGTCTATGCTTATTATATTTTACTACAGTTGAAGATTTGTATCATAACAATAAAGGTTTAAATTACCTGTATCCGGCAAGTGATCACAAAGGATCACTTGACACAGGTAATTTAAACATTAAGTTGTAAAAATCAGTGATCCAGAGGCTAATAAACTATAAAAAAGAAATTGTATCTTAAATTGCCTTGAATATAGGGCACCTAGTGTTTAATATTATAAATAAATTATTGTTAAAACAATTTAACTCTTTCAATTTGTTTAAACCTCTAAATCTAAAAAAAAAAACTTGTATTGTATAGGCCTACTCAATTCACACTACTCTAATGCAAATTTTAGGCTGATATGAATAAAATATTATTTCAAACCTGAAATAACAGCTGAATGATGACTTCAGGATTCAGGATGATTAAAAATTCATTCACTGGAGCATAATAAGGCTCTAACATGCCATCTTATGGATATCATCAATTGACTGGGTGAAATGTGAAATATAAAATTAAGACACTCCAACCATGAAGCAATAAAAAAAGTCCATTGATGTAATTTATGATAAGTTTTCTTTATATAAAATTAAAGTCCAAATAAATTTGTTGACAAGTTTCTTGCTTCACATAATCTCTACACACTGACTTTAGAGATGGATTCAATTTAATTACCAAAATAATCTACTATATTCAATGGTATTTTCAGAAAGAAACTAGTTACAATGTGTGACATGTTAAAAGTATGTATAACATAGATAACTGTTGTTAATATATAAGTTACTTATATTTGAAATCGTTAGGGTTATTTTAGATTAAACTTCGACTGGTGTTGAAATTTCATCGGTAGGTACTTATTAAACCTCTTCAAATTCCTGTAGGTAATTTTTTATGTCATCGTCACAGTAACAATATGTTAAATACATGTCTTTATACGCAATTACCAAAAACCTAATTGGAGCTGGGCGATTATATAGTGTTCACCTGGTAATTAAAAGTTTGCTGGTTCAATCCTGAGAAAAATTAGTAGCATTTGATCATGAACTGGACCCAGCTATCCTTGATCATGGGTCTATTATAAAAATGTTCTTGGCTAAGGAACAGCTGCTGGTCGTAGCCAGTTATTCTTTATAAACTACCCCAATGTACCCCCTTAAGTAATCAAAAAAAAGGTACAATACAATCTGACAAATTGAATCATAATAATAATTGAATGTATAATGGAATTGAACCATCCTTGTAATATGGATCAGCTGAAGACAATTTCACGGTTTGTTTTTTGTTATTTCAGTTATTTTAAAACCTGGTTTAACCTATAATAAAACGATATAATTATAAACGATATCTCGTCCAATAGTTATGTAACCAAACAGTAAAGTATAAATCATAAAATTAGCCCTAAAATAATAGAAACAAACTTTCTTCGACACTAGTGCTAAGTGTCACGAACGTGAACTAGACACGAAAATTCAGCGTAAAATCTCTGATGAAACATTTTACAATGGGATAAGAAGTCTACTTGTCTACTTGTGTTAATTATAATTTCAGAAGGCATTTTAGGGTATTTTAACCTTACAACACAACCCAACAATGTGAGTGAAGAATGAGTTTGGAATGGAGTGAGGGGCCTTGAGTAGCTTTGTTACTACAAGACGATTAGTATGGCTACGCAGATCACCTCCCTCCATTCCACACTAACTTTTCATTCATATTCAGTTTAAAATACCCACTTAAGTGTTTGCTGAAGAAAGAATTACAGAAGTACAGGTCATTAGACGTTCTCTGGACTAATGTTAAAATGAAAAGTGAAAAAAATACCTACTTATGTTAACATCTTTCAAATTAATTGATTGGTACTTAAAGAGCATGAGTACCCTTCTAAACTACAAAACTGTCATCTTGAGCATTTATTGCACTGAAAGAATGAAGACCTCAGCCACTGGTCAGACGACAGAGTCAAAATTACAACAAAGTCACATGGCCGAATTCAGGATTCAGCCTATTCAGGCCACCGATTGGGTAAGAGGATAAAAATGGTTTTGGAAAAACAAAAAAATAGAGCCTCCTATTGGCTATGGTGGATTATGTGAGTTTTCGAATGATACAACCGAAATAAAGTGAGTTTTGGAAATGACACACACTTTTTAACATTAAATATTAGTAGGATTACACAAGTTTTGACACGGTATTTTATAACGAACTAGCTGGAGCTGGCCCGACAGACGTCGTCCTGTCCTAATATGGTTTTATGTCAAATCATAGATAAAACAACTCCTCAAGGAGTATCCTTGAGAAGTATGTTTTATCTATGGTCAAATGCTCGTTCATTTTCAAGGTGAGCTTGTTCGCATGACTCAATCACGTCCTGGTTGAAGTTCGTTCGCTACGCTCACTTACCTTTAGGTTGGAGCTCGTTCGCTGCGCTCACTTACCTTTAGGTTAGCTCGTTCGCTCCGCTAACTCGCCTCCAGGTTGAAGTTCGTTCGCTACGCTCACTCACCTTTTGGTTGCAAATTAGCTGTTGTCATAAATTTAAAAAAAATAGTGCTGCACCCTGTTGGTAAACCAACTAACTTTTTAATGCTATTGAACATCTCAGAATCAAATTGTTTAGTTGAACCAGCTGTTAAGATTCTTTAATTCCATTTAAATCTGAGTAGCCTACTCACAAGGTTAACATGGTAAACTCCAGAGCCACTGGGCGGAGCCCTTTTGACGGAACTGCACCAAACTTTCACACAAACCATCCTTGAATAATGCTTAATAATGCCTGGAAGTTTCATTGCAATCTGTCGAGTGGTTTCGGAGTCCATTAAGGACAAACAAACGTCCATTAAGGACAAACAAACATACATATACATACATTGGATTTTATATGTATAGATAAATGCACCTTTTTTCTGCTGAATGAAGTGTTACCAACAACTCAATTTCAAAAAAAAATTGATAAAGTGAGTTTTAATTGGAATGAACCACCTCAGGTGTTCGCTGCTGTCTAAAAAAAAAAATAAAGCACCCATCCACACATTGGTGTGGGACAGAAACAAGCCCGCATACGTCATCGTCATAGAGCGTTATCAGAATATGAACTGTTCAAAGGTGTTCTACAAAACATGATAATTGGGCCATTGGCACTCAGTCGTTAAAAGTGGTCATGATTACGTCACTGAATCTTTCCCTGTTAGTCTCGCAAACTATCAAGATACATAATCAATGCATATAATTAATCACTTTACCCACTATTATCGTAAAAAATTATCCACTATTTTTAACTATTAACATCTATTTATCATACATTTGCGCTTTATTTACTCTATTATGGTCGATTTCAGCATTGACTTTAGATACTAGAAGAATAATTCTCATCCTATTTTAACACTAACTAGAGCCTGTTTTGTAGGGAGTAGCATTAATTGTATAATAGATTAGACCATAAATAAAACTTACTCCATTAGGCTACGGCCACACGGGCGTTTTTTCACGCAAGAACGCAGCGTATGAAAAACGCAAGAAATATGATCAGCATTAAATGAATCGAGGTATGCCACACGCAGTGTGTTTTCCCGCAGTAGCGGGCGCCTATTTGTTTCAATGCTACTTTAATTTTTCGCGTGTTTTCACGCTGCGTTTGTGCGTGAAAAAACGCCCGTGTGGCCGTAGCCTTAGTGTTGGTTATGCATCTTGTGTTGGTTAGGAGTATGTTTTATCTATTTACATACTCACTGATTGTACAGTATCAACAGCAGATAAAACATCAAAAACACCTTCATAGATTTATTATTCTAACGGATCATACGAAAATGTTTGATACAATTGCAAATAAGTGCGATATATTGTATTTAATTGTAGCTAATTTTAAAATATAGTACGTATAGTAATATGAAACCGAAATATACAGATGGCGTTGACCAGATGTTGTTGACAGTTCGTGGAAAGTTCAACAGATAGAGTTTGCTGTCATTCTATTCTGTCAATCTGTCGAGGTTATGTTTGACATGATCGTAAACAAAACCCTACTAGTTTTCTGTATTTTCCAATTAATGAATCATGTGTAGTAATTTATTTGGTGAACATTAAATTTACTTGCCCGAATAATGTTCGTTAAATCCCAACACGCATTTAATTATACCGATGATAAGTGAAGTACCTAGGTACGCGGAGTTGTGTAACTGTTTATCTCCTTGACAATAATCAGTAATCACTTTTACTCCGTAAGTGTTAAGCATTCCGATAGTATGTGTGCAAATAGCGAGATAGGAGGTTGCTCGTGTGTTGTGTTTGTGTTTGTGGATGAACAATAGATAATGGCTTTAAATCCGGACGCTTGTGGTGTGATTGACCCGAGCATTCCACAGTGGAAGAGAGAGTTGATAATACGGAGACGAGCTCTCGGACGGACGCTTCAAGTCGGCAGTAGTTCCGTTAAACTCACTTGCCCCGCGGTCGTCGCCGCTGTTCGTCAACCCGAGTCGTGTAGTGGTAGTGAAAATATTCCTTCTACAAATAGTCCGAAATGTTCGCCTACAGCTGAGGATTCGTTGTTTAGTTCACTCAACCAAAACCGTGTGGACTTTCACCAAGGGCCATCCTCCCCTGGTTCAGTCAGTAACATGCGGCTGTTGGATGCGTGCAGTGAGGTGGATAACCTAGTGATAAATAATGGCATAGATGTGAAAAGTAAACAAAGTGGAGTTGTGACCAACAATAGTGATACTAGTGTAAGCTACAGTCTAATCATGGGGGAGGATAAATCACTCAACCTCAAAAAGAAAAATTCTCCAAAATCCAAACATGAGACAATCAACTGTGTTTCATCCAGGCAAAGGATTTTTATTGAGAAGGTGCAGAGTGAAGGAACTAATGGGAAATCGAATAAGGAAGAGGACTGCCTTTCTGATTCCAGCGAAGAACTTCAGTATGGACCAGGTATTGTGAACAAATTAAAAACTAAATATCTAAGTATGACACTTCGGGAGCAAAAAAAACACACTCGACCATCATTATCAAATTTAAGGAGAGCTACGAGCCTTGAAAATATGCTAGATGGTGATGACAATTTAAACGAACAAACTAAAATGGGGGCTGATGTTAAGGTAAAAACTGGAAATGTGAATAGTATTGATAAATCTACTTTAATGGGGAAAACTGTAGGGTTGAACTCTAACTGTGGGTTACGATCTCTTGGTAATCATAGAATTGAAACAATGAAAAGAGCTCAATCAATGGATACTTTGTTGAAATCTGAAATACGGGGAACAATTAAGCCTATTGTCAATGAAAATATCATTATAGTTGAGAAAGAAAATATAGGAATAAATCCCTCTTCAGATTCTTCATCTCGGACCAAAAGTAATGTTAGGCCTAATACAGAGCTTCCTCCACCTGATGTTGTAAAACAAACTTTGAAAATATTTGAAACCTCGCCTAAAAAAAAGGTTAAACCTGCAGGTCAGGGCAACTTGGCTAAGCTCGTCGCAGGTTTTTCAAATCCAGCTAGTCAACCTGTTTCATCACTTGGTAATCGATCAATAATTGACAGAAGAAAGGTCAACCAAAATAATAAACCTACTCTTTCACCCAAACCTATTCTTAGCCCTGAAAAGTTAAGACGCACAAAAATAGGATCTCCAAAAAGAAATCAACCTTCAGCTACTGGTACTGTGTCGTCAGCAAGCAGAACGCCACCTTTATCAACTTCCAACAAGCCTGCGGGAATAAACAATGAAAGGGTTAAGCTACAATTAGTACAGAATGAACAAAGTGTTGCTGAGAGAACGACTGCGACATCACCAAAAGTTTTAAGCCCTAGAAGTAAATCTCCAACAGTCACTGTTTTAACCGACAACGATCATCCATCTTTAGCCTCACAACCTGAGAAAGTCCACTCGCAAAGTTTACTTTCAAATGGTGAAAAGGAAGTTTCTTCTGTCCACTCTGATGAGTTAGAAGAAATCGATAGTCACAGTGAATCATGTAAACCAGTTCCAGAAACAGCTTTAGAAAATATTAGACGTGGTGGAGTGTCGATGCAGTTCAGCTTTAGTAGTGAAAATTCTCCAGTTCCATCAAATAAATCTTACCTACCAAGACCTAAAAGCCCACCACAAGCTCTAAATACGTCCTTATTGAAAGGAAAACTTGAAAACTCTCCACCACCTACAGGTTTCGTCCCGCCTAGACAACAAGGTTCGCCACAAATCAAACAAGTCGGAATAATTAGACCTCTTGTCTCAACTAAAATACAGTCTAATGTGTCTTCAACACCTGCCTTAACTGAACAAGAAATCGAGAAGAACCTGATAAACCGTGTTAAGTCAATCGAACAACCTGTTAGCAAAGTAGTCGTTGCGATCAAAGCGCTCCCCGACAGTGTCGTGTTAGGGTCTGTGTCTGCGGATGTGACAAATAAAAGTGGCTGTGCTAATTCCAAAGTTAAATCTCAAGGACTGTGGGATGAAAAAGTGTGGCACGCAAACCAAAATACTATTGTGTTCAACTTCAGTAATCGTAAGGAGGTTCCAGACTACATCGAAAATGATGGGCTGATTCTAAAAGGGAAAAGAGATCGCCCAAGGGTGAGTTGTAATTTTATTTTTTATAAATTTAGTCCATAAAATATACACTTGGCCTATAAGCTACATGATGAAACCTGTCTCCTGACAATCTGTTTTGGCTGGCCAATGGTTTAAGTTCTGGGTTAGTCCCAGATAGACGGAGGGTCAGGAGATAGTTTCCGTCATACTATAAGTCACTAGTTTTCAGGCATAGTATTCTACGTTAAGAATTTGAGGCCAAGATGATTGAAATTTTTATCTGTAACAAATTAACAAGGTGTGCATAAGATTTTAACAAATGATAAGTTATTTCAGTATTTCAGCCAGCTAGGCAGGGTTAAATGCCATCCATAGAATTTTTATAATTTAAATTAACAACAATCTTTTGTTATAGGCCTATAAGAATGCAGCCTTCAACCAAATTGTTTTGTAGGCTATTGGTTTTTTGTTCAAGCTTTTAACCAACTACTAATATCTAACTAGACTAGACTATCTAAATGTTAAGCCATGATTTGGTTTTTTAGGTTTAAGTTATTACATACTTTAATGTTTTATTTTTCTTTATTTGTTTAATCCATATTGAAGTCGATATTTATCATTTATTTATTTTCATTTATCCGTGTGTGTTGTGTGAGCATTATTGATTTGTGGCCCATATTTTTTGGTGTTCTGTATGTTCGTAGGCTTTTGTTAAAGTGATGAAGTCATGTTAACCTATTTTCAAAAATGATAAACTTATTATGAAGGCGAGTTTTAAATTTCAAGTCAAACATTGACATTGTAGGAGGTTTACGTTAAAGGTATTATAGAGATATTTCAGGGTAGGTGTCACACAAATACGGTATGTAGGTAGGGGTAAACGTCAACCCAAATCAATAAAAAAATCCAATCAAATTGTGTTATGTGACACGTGCACTTCAGTAACAGGCCTATTCTTAGTACCTATACCTGGGGGAGCGAGCTGGCGTAGTGGTTAGAGCGTGGGACTTCAGTCCCTGAGGTCCCGGGTTCGATCCCCGCCAAGTCACCAATGGATTTTATCTAAGTGATAATGCCGCAACCCCTAGGTCTAGCCTGAAGTAATGTGAAAAACAATCCCAGGCTCGTGCCTAGCGTCCTTAGGACAAAAAAAAAGTAGCTATACCTGAATGTGCACTCAATCAATGGAGGAAATATTATTTGGTCATAAGATACATACTCGGTTTCAAATGAATGTGAAACTTGAACGTAAGAACGTAAGAACCCAAGAACGTTTCATTCACCCAAAATTTAAATTTTCTAATCTACTAAAGTGTTAACTTAAGACTACGGTACTCTTCTTTTCCAAACATATGACATTAAAATATTTAGCAGTGTTAGGTTAATGACATCAAATAAGGCTCTCTCTTCTCGAGTAATTTTGGTCCGATTTTAATTAAATTTTGTATAAGTGTGTAAAAGGTGGGTAAAATGGATCGAATTCACTACCATAACCAGCAAGATCATTGATGGGAATGAGATGTTAAACAGTTTTCAAATTTTTTGAAAAATTGGGCTTTTCTTAACTTTTCCCCCCTATTAAAATGTCCAATTTCCCATGTGATCTTCTAAAGAGAAAAATAGACGGCTGCACTTTACCTTACGTCCTACACTCATTCGAATGAAAATATTGATCGATATATCGATTATTCGATATTGATTAATCAATATTACAATTACTCAATATTTCGATTGCGGTATTCTATACATCGATTATTGCTTTGTTTTTTATTTACATTTTTGTTTCTTTCATTGTTTTTGTTTGTATAAGTCATTTTTAAAGAACTTCACCATGAATTATTGAGAATTTAGTCAGAGTATTTTATGTAATCCTGAAAATTGTTTCAAATTAATGCACCATATCGTAGGGATGTTAAGATTTCTAAGGAAGACCCTTTCTTTTTCTTCGTTAAAGCTGTGAAATAATTATATCCTGGAAGATTTTAACTACGTTTAGTATCTAGAATGGAGGTTATAGTTTGTAGTTTGGTTTTTGTTTGCTTTTTTTATCTTATTAAATCATTTTATTTTTTAATAGGCCTATTGTTTGTAACAGATTTAAGATAAACTAACTTAACTGATCATAATTACAGCCGATATCTATTATAGCCTATTATTAAAGTGATACAATGAAATTTTACGTAAACGGTTAAGGCCATTTACCAAATAAAAATATAGGCATATTGCATGTCAAAATGAAGCTTAGAGTGTGTAGATTTGCCGAAAAGTATTGATATGGACGAGCTCCCTAAGGGCTCTGTCCCACAGGCTGATTTCCAAAGGGCTACGCCTTGCATGTTTTGGAAGTTAAGGTTATTCGATTAATTTAGTGAACAACAGCTGGCCAATCCAATTGACAATATAGTTTGTTTGTTTACATTTTTGTTTACAAATTTTATTATTTAGGTACTTTTATGTTCTTAAAAGAGGTGCGGTGAACGGACAACGAAGCTACTTTGAAGCTATTTTTTGGTATGAGATTAACAAACCATGTATGTTGTTCGTTCCAAGAGGTTGTCACCGATCTTTAACAGGTCGCCATTTCATTGAAAAGTAAAAGTAAAGTATTAAAGTATTAAAGACGTCGTGAAAGAGAGCAGCGAGTTCAGGTTCAACCGTAGGTACCCACCTCGGCCACCTTAGGACGTAAGGTATGAAGGTTCCACTGCTTTTATCATACTTTCAGATGACAATTTCTCGAACTTGGGCCCTTTAAATGAAATATAAACTCAAAGTTGATTAAATAAATTTAATGGTAGCTTCTGTACACCCGTGAATTCGTGGGTAGAACCTCTTGTATAATTCAAAACGATATTAAAAATTGGTTAAAAATAATCATAACTACGATTATTCTATATAGATTAATTGATATCGAATAATCGATATATTGATCGATATTTTCATTCGAATAAGTGTAGGACGTAAAGTGCAGCCAAAAATAGACTGTTGTTTTTTTCTTGTTTATGGATGGATGTATTTTAATAGCTTTATTTTAATGTATTGTAATAGCTTGGTCTATATTTTATATGTAATGATAAGGTATATTTTTGGGGAGAAATTTATTAAAAGTATTAAATTGTGTCCATCATTAAATCTATTTCAATCATGGAGAAAGAATTTGTTTTGACAATGTAAGCCTAAGGTATTTTTTTAATTTAAGGTTAGAGGTATAATAATTAATTAATCTAGGAGAAACGTAGGATAATGTTCTTAAAGACAAAGAGCACATTCTCTGCTTAGGCCTAAGTTGATTTCCATCCAACGAGAGCAGCACCAGAATAATTTTAGCCTAAAAAGAGACTCAAACTGAGGGGTATAGGGTCTAAGGAGTCAATACAATTTGCCATTAGGGCAGCCTCGGAAGACATTGGAAAGTAGAGTGCCGATTTTTTTACAAGAAGCTGCAAACAAAAGCTTGTCTTTTCAATCACCCCCCTTAAAATATGCCTTCATCATACAGCAACCTTTTTTTAACATATCCCCTAGGTGGGAGGTCATAGACTAGTCAGCTCTGTGGTGGCATCTAACGATTTCCATAAAATAATTAATATGTGGTAATCAAATTACATTAGTTAATAACTGTAGAGTCTTTTTGGTTCAAACAGCAAAAAGGCAACGCCCAACTAGAAGTATCTCCCAGACGCATTTAATTTTGTTCATATTGTCCAAAAGAGTCAAATGTTTTTTGGTCATTGTTTATTTAAGAGATGTATAATCAATGGTAGGGCCTGCTAGCATAGTTACGGCATCTCTCTACTCATTATTTACCAAATTTGTAAGGGGCTCAAATGGTAGCATCTTGTCCTGATCCTGATAAACCAGACATTTTGAATCTTGTGATGGTTCGAGACTGGACTCAGCTGATATTGATCATTGGAACTTTTTACTATTAATCTAGTTTCATTTTGTTTGAGTTAAGCCTCCGAATCACTGATCAATACGTGTACTGGTGAAATTACCTGCTGTCAAGTGATCCTTTTGACCTTGAAAGGCGACCGGTTTCGACCCTCACGGGGTCATCTTCAGGCGGACGTCGTCATCGTCTTTTCGTTCTTGCGAACACGTCGTTTTTTAAAAAACATTGAGGTTTACAGTTTTTTTAAAAACTGTAAACCTCAATGTTTTTTAAAAAACGACGTGTTAACATCGTGTTCAGGCGATGACGACGTCCGCCTGAAGATGACCCCGTGAGGGTCGAAACCGGTCGCCTTTCAAGGTCAAAAGGATCACTTGACAGCAGGTAATTTCACCAGTACACGTATTAATCTAGGCTAAAGAAACAACTGATTTAAGGCAGTAACAAAGCTTCACTATGCACTTTTTCATCCCACACTTGACGTTTATTCATATTCAAGTTCAAATTCGCTTAGGCGTGTCCCCAAAATAGTAATAGAGAAAGACTGGCTGCGTGTACTACCGTTGGCGCGTTTGTTAAAAAATTAACCTGTACAGGGTTCAGGTGGGCTAAAAATTTACTTTTGCTAATGTTTTTTTGCCAGCGTGCATGCTGGCTCTGGCTGATGGCCAACCCGTCTGTGGTCCGTCTCGGCCATCCACGAGTGAAGATCAGTGGTCAGGCTCTGTACGAATCAATGATCAGCATCACTGGTCCAAAGTCTAGTCCAAGTGTTGGACCGTAACCAGGTCCATTAGTTTAGTTTCCACTTTCTGCGGCTTCACTCGGCACCTAATTATCCGGTGGGTCGGAACCGAACTGACACGAAACTGTGCAAACACACAATCCTCATCACGCCTGTTTGCTTAGCCCAAATCAGACACGTCAACCGCACGGTCAACGCATAGTCAACCGTCACAATCTTCATTATTATGTTAATTACATACCATCAATAAGATGTCTAACAAGAGGTCGACGTTGCGATAAGGCTAAGGTTTGGAGGGTTTCCGTAAAAATATGCCGCAGCAAACCTGCAGACAGTGCATTTCCAATTATCTGGTTGGTTTTTCACTCTTGTTTCCTTGAAATTCCAGGATTTTTTTAAAGC